AAGTGGGGGAGAGTTTTCTCAAGTGAGAGACAGCACAAAACGAAAGCGTGGAAACATAAGAAACGTGTGACGTCACACATTGAGGGCGAGTGCTACTCATGATACCTCTTATGTTCGCTTTCCGCTGCAGTTTTTCAGTTTTCTGGTCAAGTGACCGCACAAAGACGAAAGATGTTTGAATACTTTCCATTCCATGTTTTGACATCATGGGAAACTCCAGATGTGAAGGAGGCAAGACTGCTTCAGCTGGCATTGGTTAAGTAACAACAGTACAGCAGTACAACAACATCCAGCCCGCGCCCGCCGGAACCATGGGCACACTTCTCGAATCGAAAGAAGCACTGAAGTCCAGAGGCTTAGAGGTGAACCTCACTTCCGAAGAAATCGATGCCCTGATTGACAACAGGGTGGACTCCTTAGCAAGGCTGGCCTTTGCTTGCTGTCCGCCTGGTGAAGCGCCTACGAACGAGCAGATAGATGCCCTGTTCGCGGGACGGACTGCACCGAACCAGGGGACCTATTCCTCTATCAAGAGGCTCATCTTCGAAGCACAGACTTTGCTCTCTGCCGAACTCCAGAACAAGGTCCACGAAACGGAAGACCAGGCCAAGTCAAAGATGGCCCCAGCAGAAAGGGATAACAGAATCAAAGATCAACGCACGAAGCTGGAAGGACTACGCCTGAAAGGGGAAGAGGAATGCAGTCACTCTTCATACGACCTCGTCCTCAACATGCTCGAGAAGGACTGCTTGATATATCTCGGACCCGAGAAATTCCCGACAAGGAGACAGGAGCTCATGCAGAAGAAGCCTGTGCGTGAGATATCAATAGATCAATCAGCCCTCGTCATCAGAGATCGACAACAGGAGCTCCTATGCAGTACCACTACCGAGCTGGAGACCGTGAACGCCTTCAGGCGAAGAGCACTGGCTTTTGACTTAGTCAAGTGCTGCGGGTTCCACACCATGAATACCTACCACTCTGAGCTCTTCGAGCACATCCACCAGGCACCACCGCCTGGCTATGCAGCGGTCAGTCTGGCACAAATCTTGCGTGCTGACCGTGCCGCCTGGGTGATGATAGCTGAAAAGATCACGAGCCTGAAAAGGGACCCTCAAGGAGCCCTGCCATTGGAAGTGGAGATCCAGAAAGCCTTGATGCATCCGACAGTGTCATTCCACCTGCTGCCTCTGCCTACAAAAGCGGCCAGCACAGCCCCAAAGCCTGAGAAGCCGGCGCCCAAGAGAGACCGGTCAAGAACGCCTCCCAAAGGATCACCCACCAAACCTGCGGGAAACCCTGGAAAAGGACAGGGCAAAGGAAAGGGGCGCAAAGGATACAACAAAAAGGGAGGGGGCCGAATGTTCCAAAAGGGCTGATCAACAAGTCGCTCCAGACGGATGCAGGTGAAAGACTATGTTGGGTCCAGATGCGCCAGCAGGCGGCAAATGCGCCAGGGGCCTCCACCTGTGCACAGAGCCGGGGTGCCAGAAACCCCATAGCATGCAAAATCACAAGTGACAAACAAAGGCGGGTGCTCCCATTTTGCCATGTTCTGAGGCCCCTTTTCGAAGCAAAAGTGACGCCAAGATCCAGGGACGCCCGCTTGATGAGTTTTATTGTATAGAAGTTTACGCCGGCACTGGCCGCCTCACTGCCGCCATTCGAGCCATGGGAATAAAGAACAGCTTTGGAATCGATTGCAAATTGCCTTCTCAGCTGCGTAGTCCCATAATTAAGTATGATCTGCTCAATCCAAACCATGTGAAGCTTGTACAGGATCTCATCGCTTCCCCACAATGTTTGTACGTTCATTTTGCGCCACCCTGTGGCACCAGCTCCAGAGCACGGCTGATACAGAGACGTGGCCGTTGGAATCCACCAATCATCCGCACTGACACTCACCCTGATGGCATCCCAGGCCTCAGTGGCACTTTGAAGGCACGTGTAGACTCAGCCAACAACCTGTACCACGCAACTTGCTTGCTAGTCAGATGGTGCATACAGCACAACACGTACTTCTCAGTGGAGAACCCTGGTAGGTCTTTCATGTGGCACACAACACCCTTTGTGGCCCTTATGCAGGAAGTACATGACCTACAGGAAGTTTCCTTTCATCATTGCCGGTATGGGAGTTCCAGACGTAAGCTCACTAAACTCTTACATAACATCCCAAGTTTCGCCAAGCTGGAAGCCTTTTGTTTGGGAGACCATGAACATGAACCCTGGGGGCAAAACCCCGACGGTGGATGGAGGACTGCGGAAGAAACTGCCTACCCATGGGACTTGTGCCGAACAATAGCAGCCAAGCTGCTGATGCAACTGAGCGAGGATGGGGTGATCTGCACTCCACCCGTCTTCGCCCTCCAAGAGGCCAATCTCCAAACTTTGCGGGTCACCACCGACATACAACCCCGCAAAAACCTCCCCCCAATGGTATCAGAGTTTCTCCACATCAGACCCCATCCAGTTGATAAACCTTTGCCACCACAGGCTCGTAGACTGAGCACTCCTAACTTCGGGGGTATAAACGCGAGTGTAACAGACCAGCAATCCATCACCATCGGTATTCACAGAAATCCCGATGAATTCGTCAGAGACGCTGCAGCTGTTGGACACCCCACCAGGATCCATTCCATGTTTCCAGATGAAATAACTGAAGTAGTCCGTACTTACGTTAATCTGGGACCCTCCAACATAGCCCTGCACAGGACTGAAGAGATAAAAAGATGGATAAGCCTCTCAGAAGATCTGAGACCAGCGGAGACTGTGCTGCGGTCGAACATGTCACCAAGACGGCAAAACATTCTGGAGGGGAAGAAGTTAGCTCTCCTCCGGACCTTGCTTATCGAAGCTGAGCACAGTGACCTCAACTTGGTAGATGATTTGACCACAGGGTTTGACCTTACCGGCGCCTTGCCAGAGTCCCACTCATTCACCAGGCGAGTCAGACCTGCTGCAATGTCTTGTGAGGAACTGAGGAATGTGGCCAACATGTGTAGACAAGGGATGCTTGACATGACTCAATCCTCGGGTGACAGCGAGCTTGACGACCAGCTGTATGCTGCCACTCGAAAAGAAGTCGCGAAGGGCTTTCTTGATGGGCCTCTTGACCCTGGGGACCTGCCAGCCGGGGCCACTTTGACCCGAAGATTTGGCGTCAAACAAAAATCCAAGACCAGACCCATTGATGACTACAAAGCGTCCTTTGTCAACAGCAGTGTGTCACAGACAGAAGCTGCATCTGTGCACACTGTAGATCACATAGCAGCCATGGTCGCGTGTATCATGCGCACTGCCGAGACGCAGGGGCGCCAGCTGGATCTCACTGCCAAGGCGTGGGATCTGGCGGATGCCTACAAGCAAGTGCCTTTAAGTGACCGCGCCTTTGAGATGGATTCCTTCTTGGTAGTTTTTAGCCCTCTAACCAAGGGACCCGAAATATACCAACAAAAAGTTCTTCCTTTTGGATCTGTGGCGTCCGTCACGGCCTTCCTTAGACTGGCATTAGCCCTGTGGAAAGTTGGCACCAAGCTTTTGTTCTTGTTATGGTCGTCCTATTTCGACGACTTTTTCTCGGTGGCAGAACAGGCTACATCCAAGCATACCGACTTGGTAATATCAGCTTTCTTTGCCATACTGGGATGGAACCTCTCGAGTGACAAGCTTGTGCCATTTGACTCCGTGTGCAAAGTTCTCGGGGTCAAGTTCGATTTGAAACTCTCAGGCGATGGGCTGGCTTTCGTCCTCAACACAGATGAGAGGGTGCTTGAGCTTTGCGATTGCTTGGATGAGGTCCTGACCTCCAAACGCCTGAGAAGAGGGGAGGGTGAAAAATTGAGGGGTCGCCTGATCTTTGCTGCAGGCCAGTTGTTCGGCAGATTTGTCAGGAACCAAGTCAGACACCTTTCCAATCACATTCGATCAGGCAGAGCCAACTTGACTGAAGCAACAGTTGATGCCCTCAAAGGGATTAGAAATTACCTCCATGCGAATGTACCCCGAAAAATAGTAGGATATTCGTGTGAACACATCCACCTGTATGTAGATGCATCCTTCGATTATGATGGTTACTCGGGGATAGGGGGCGCCTTATACAACAGCGCAGGCACTCCCGTTGCCTTCTTTAGTGAAACCCGACAGAGAATTTTTGGACATGGTTCGCTCCGAAGGTCAAGTGACTGTCATCCAGGAACTAGAGATGCTGGCGCTCATGGCAGCTATCAGCCTTTGGTGCCCGGAGTTCAAAAGCTATAGAGTAGTTGCCTTCACGGACAGTGAATCAGTTCGTGGCGCCTTCCTCAAGACCTGGTCCAACAACCATCAAAACAATCACCTCTTGGCGTGCATCTTCCAAGTGGAAGAAGAATGTCTGTGCCAAATCTGGCTGGAGCGAGTGCCCAGTCAATCCAACCCATCCGACCTTCTCTCCAGAGAAAAAGTCAACCAGTGGATGGGCTTGAAGTGCAGGCAGGTGGATTTCAGAAACCTCTGGAATCGTGCAGCCCTTTTCAGGGGTAAGTGTGCGGCTTGATGCAACGATTTTCCCCTGGTGACAAAAAGATCATGGCGGCAGCTGTCACCGTTGGATCAAGGCTTGCAGGTTGAGGTCGTTTCTGCAGCATGTAGGGATCAGCCAAGAACATGCCCAACAAATAAGAGTTTTCTCATGGAACATGATAAAGCGTTATTTGTAAGGCAGGTTTGAAGAGTGAATGTTCATGAACGTGCTGATCACTACATCATTTCGTCCCCGTTGTTTTAGCTTCAAGTGAAGCAAATCAGAGCAAGTGCTCTGATGGTCATGTGTCCATGTTCACGAACATAACATGTCACAGACACTTGACCTTGTTTATGTGTTTTCACTTTCAATTGTTTTGGAGTCAATACTCATATAACAAAACAATTACACAGTTTTGAATTTTCGTCCCAAAACCTCTCCCACCCTAGCAAGTGCTACTGGAGCAAGTGCTCCCACTCCAGTAAGTACTGGCAGAGCTATGGATGTCCAACCTGACATCGACTTGGTCTCTATCTTCAACGAAGTTTTTCTGGTCCAGACCTACCTCCACAAGTTAGAGATCATCGAAGAGATCATCACTGATATCAGTGATTTTGTGGAGGACCAGGCATTGCCACAACCTTCAGTCCAACTCAATGCAATGCGACAACAAGTGGGACAAGTCAAGATTCAACTCCGCTTCCTTCTTCAACTGAAGCTCCTGGAAGCCTGTCGTCGTCTACGACAACATGTTCTTCAATATGGACACCTTCCTCTTCTGAATCTTGATTTTCGCCGCTGACTGGCCTTAATTCTTCGGCACCATTTGCCTACCCCGGCCAGTGCGCGGCTTGACGCAACGATTTTCCCCTGGTGACAAAAAGATCATGGCGGCAGCTGTCACCGTTGGATCAAGGCTTGCAGGTTGAGGTCGTTTCTGCAGCATGTAGGGATCAGCCAAGAACATGCCCAACAAATAAATAAATAAATATATATATATATGTATATATATATATAGATACACAATCACACACACACACAGAGCAAACCTTTCCTGACAATTTGTATATACTGAACATCGAACTTCCAGCTTTCACCAAACCAACACCCCCCTTGACAGTTGGTGTCTCTGAAGGTTAGAATCTGAATCTTCAGATGAAGGCTGTGGGACTGGGTCCAAAGAGGATTACAACATGACCAACGGCATGGTGACCCTCCCTTTTCGTAGGATTCCTCTGCACCTGGACAGGCACAGAGTCGCCCAGAAGATGGCGAGCACTGGGCTTGACGGTGATGCTATTGAGCCTGGGTCTCTCGGCAGTGGGACTGTTGGAATCGGCTCGGTGCTCCGTGTGCTGAGGCCTTGCTGCGTTGCTAGGCGACTGGGTGTGAAACCTGCAACTGTCCCACAGTCAAAAGATTTTGCATCTCCCAGCATTTTCCGGTAAAAGATTCACAATTTTAGATTTCACAATGTGATTTTCTCAATCTTCCAAGGAGTTGTCCACTTCCTGGGATCCTCGGTGTCAAACTTCGCCGAAGCGCAGGCATCCAGCGACTCCAACCCGCCGCCGCAGAACCGGAGAGTCACTGACCCGGTCTGGGTGTGAAGCTGCATCCAAGGGGACACAACAATGACAGTTCTTGGGCTCTTGGGAAGAAAGTTGGAGTATATCAGTATATCACTATATCATAGTCATTCATAATCCTTTAAACTCTACATGATATGAATTCACATGAATTCATGTTCCAGTTCGATTCTGCCTTGACTTCGAAATGTAGCTTTCATTTCTTCAGACGATTTCAAGATCTGTGCATGCGGCTGCGCCTCGTATCTCCAAGAGGTTTTTTTTGTCCTTGCCCTTTTCGATTCATATTACTTCACTCAGGTGTTGAGGAGCTTTTTGTGTCACCGTACAATGTGGAAGCAAGTCTCGAACTTATGCCGTACTCCATATGTTTGTTGTCTCCAGTCAGATAGACAAGATGTCTACATTGACAATGTGCAATGTCAAGCTGGACCGAGTGCCTTGATACCAGCACTCACTCGGCCAGTGCTGACCTTTGTTCTCGTTACCAAACCACAGGAAAAGGACAGCTTGCAAAGGTGCCTAAGGATGCCTAAGGACCTATATTGCCAACTGGACATCTTCTTGAGAATATTTCTCTGACTCAGGTACCGATGATACAAATCTGGAATTCATGGACGTTGTTGGGGGGCTGCCACTTGTCTCCGCAACTCTTGCCTGGATGTCTTTCATTGTCGCTCTTTCTATCAATCATCAATTGCAAGTCTCTATCCATTAAATATGGTTATCTTGCTTTTCAGTAGTTATGTTTCGCTGCCTAGTCACTTTGCCCTTGCTGGGTCATATCGCAAGTGGCAGGCCGTTGCCACACAGTGTTCGCATATCCAACCTGCTGTCATCGAAATCCACCAAAGTCGTGTGTCGGTATGACCAGCCCCATTACTATCGAGGCCTGGCGTCCCATTCACGCCTGAGCAGCTGGAGCAAAAGAAAATTGAGTGGAAGTGAGCATCCTCAGAAACTTCAACGGAGTCGCAGTTCTGGCTGATTCATTTGACATTACGTGGATCTTGGGAACAGTGTGAAGATGATTTCAAGCTCAAAGCGTGCGCACATGCCACATATGTCACAGATCATCACAGATCCACAGATCCCTCCAAAGACATGGATCGCATGGGATGGATATCCTTAGGGTCGTTGAAATCCTGATCCAAGGTCTCCACCCACGACGCCAAAGCCGGGTGAGACTCCAACCCCTCCGCCCACGCAGAGCCGTGCAGAGGTGCCAGAGCCCCTGATCAGCGGAGAGATTTTTGGCAACTGCGCCATGCATCGCAACATGAAAATTTGGTCTTTCTCAATTTTCTCGTTTTGGTTTTTCGTAAGACCTGCATACTTTGATTGGGGTCCACTGCTTCTCTTCTGACAAGGGCGGTTGATCCAGCCACATGCTTTTGAGCGCTTGTGGCAAGGCACCACATTTTTTGAGATGAGACTTGAGATTGTCACTTGCTAAGGGACAGCAATGACTGCTACAAGGGCGAGGAGTTCTTCGCAGGGTGGGGATGTCCAAGCGGGTTCGAGCGGATCTGTGGCCTGTTATGGCCGTTGCGCTTCTTTCCTTTCAATGATGACAACTCATCCAGCAGATTTTTACGTGATCTGCATTCACTGGCAATCTCGCAATCCGGGAGCATCCGGCACAATTTTGTGTCAGCCTGAGGGCGTGCTACGAGAACTGCAGCGTGCCAAGCCCAGCCAGCTCTTAATTTGCTTTGCCACTGGTAGACACAACGGGGACCACTGGAAAAAGCATAATAAAGCACGAAACTTATGATTTACCAACTGTTGGACCAGTTGACAAAGCAACAAACAGTCGCTTGAATTTGCGCAGAATCCATACTAGCCTGACAGAACCTGACAAGACGTTCTGCCAGCTATGCCTAGATGCTGACAGCCGGGCAGTTCCCCATCAGATCCAGTCCGAATACTTGCCGAGTGCTCAGAAGTCCCTCAAGTGACTCAAGTGGAGTCGAGGACGCTTTTTGGATCTGTGTGGACACTTGATGATGTCAAGATGTCCAGGCTGCAAAGAGGAGCCCTGCATCTTGTGCCTTGTCTGAGAAATTGTTGCTGGACATTTATTCCGAAATGGCAAGCCAATTTACACGGTCAGTCATACTGCCATTATGCATTTTACATGTACGCAGTATGCATTTGTATTTTAGATGTATGCAATTGTATGCACATCAATGCACACTACACCTTGCACTTTTTTCCTCCAGACTTTTGCTAAAATCAGTCAGTTTGTTCTACATCAACCCAACCTCCTAGAGCCCATGGTTCACTTGGAAACGTCCAAGCTGGCTGGTTGATCCGGTGATGATTTGCTGCGAAGGAATCTTTGGAAACCACAAGGGGAATGTGTGACTTGCTGCCATTTTGCATCCACTGAGTCCCAGCCTCCTTTCGTTCTCTGGATATTTTGTGTGCATGGGCTATGCAGCAACTTGACTGGCAATGTGCAGAATTTGAAAAGGTTGATTCGTTGTCGTGCAGAGCTGTGCGGCGTATATATTTCTGAACGTTCAGCTTGGAACTGCTCTCATGCTTGAAGAACGCCACAGTCGATCTGGCATGTAACGCAGTAGTATCTTTGTACCCTACTTCCACCTTTTTGTCCACCGAAACTGCCAAACTACGGCTTGAAGTGAAGCCTTGCTGCGTCTGGCAACGAGTCTTGTCTGAGGTGGACAGCAAAGGGGGCTGCCGGGGGCCTCAAGACCTTCAAAGCTTGCGAGAACTCAATACCATTTACTAGTCATTACTGGTCAATGGGTCACTGTTAGAAGAAGCTGTAGTCACTAGCAACTGATTTGGCTGCTATCCTTCACCTCTGTAGCTGCAAGTAGCTGCAAGGCCCTCGACAACCTGGGAAGTGCAACAGTGACGAGGCCTCGATAGCATCCCCAGCATACATCAGCATACATAAGCATAGCCTAGCTGATCCGTAGCTGACTCTCCTTCTTCTTTGTGCATGTTGCAATGCTGTTGATCGAGAATCAGAGCTATCCAATCTTGCAATGGCTTGCATTTAGCACGGCAGGAGATTTTCCAGGGCAAGTGCTACAAACCTTGCGTCCGGTGCCAAGGATTTATCATCATTTATCGTGTAGAATCGTGTAGATACTTGTCTGTTTTCAATCGTTCGTTGTGGATTTATTATCCAGGATCCAAAACCAAAGAGATATCACGCAGAAAGACTCCTGATTCGAATGCCATGGACCTCCAAGGCAAGTCTGACTCAGAACACCTTTCCCTACAGAGTAGGCGCAGCTGAACCGAAGTCTCCATGTAACATTTCTTTTTGAGCTGCAATTTTTGATAGAGTTGCACGTTGAGTTTACCTTCAATAGCTTATTCAATAGCTTTGTCAATAGCTCATTTAATGGCTTAAATAGCTTATGATGATTGATGAACGAGCCAAGGGCGTTGCGAAGCTCGTGAGGCCCCATGAGCTGCTGCAAGTTCGAGTCGCCCTGCTTCAACGTTTTCAACATCAAATCAGAGGCGAGTCTGTCGCATCATTTCGCAAGTAACCTAGGCCTGTTTCGAGGATTCGAATGACACAAAATGGCAGAGTAACAAATATGTGGACAATACTAATACTTTCGGTGTTCCAGTTGAAGTTTCACTTCACGATATTACATAGGATATTTTTCCGTTAGTATTAACTTGTCAACGCATTCGGCAAGCGGGAGATGATCTGTGCGCACTAGACAGGATTTCAACATATTTCAGGTATGAACCATGATGAAAGTCTTTGAGCCTGGCTTTCTTCATGTGCCATTTCAAGAATTGTTTTGAGCAGAACTGATCCTGCGAAACTAGAACAGTTCTATCTATGTCATATAATCAGCATGTCAAGCCTTTTGCCATTCGACATCAGTCATCAGTGAACATCGTCTGCCCACAGAGTCACAGAGTGCCCTTTCTGCAGGGAATCGGCCCCTGCAGTGGTTATGACGTGGGTGGCTCCGGTCACAATTGTTCGGTGCCCAAGATGGGACAACGGCAGAACGGATCATGAGCACCATCAGCGGACCATGCAAAAGCCGAGCATTGGCTGACACAGCCCTCCTTGTGCCAAGTGCAGGATAACTACTTAATCTACTCAATCTACTTAACCTGAACCTAGTGTTTGGACGTATTGAACCTCTTCATGTTTCCAGTAGCCTTTCTAGAAAGAATCATAAGGACTATCAGGAACGTTGATCCCTGTATTCCTTTGAAGGACTATCAGCAGCACAAGTATTGTGAGCTACATAGGAGTCTGGTGAGCCATAGCTCTATCGCCTCAATACAAGGGTTGCAGACCAAAACATGTGACCAGTGAATTTGTTTCCAGTCATCAGTACACAGTATGGAGGTGTTTTCGCCACATGTGTTTCAAGACTGGAGCTTTGCATGGGACTCGACTCTCAAGATTCTCAAGTGACTTGCAAAGGCTCCCATGACCCGATATTGTGAGAGTGGCCTGGCCAGGAGCAGCTGCCTATGCATTATTTGCCGACCTAAAAGTCAGGCTCATGTTAAGTTAAAGGTGTTCTTCCAGGGTTGCAAAATGAATTGAACAGCACCATCATCACTGGGCGTCATCGACTGGACGCCACATTCTGCTCAACAAGACAGACAAGCTCCTACTGGTAGCTGCGTGACAGAAATGACTTGCCCCGGCTTGACTTGAGCCAGGAAAGCAATGTTTCACTTCCAACTTTATGTGATGCGGTTCTAGGGGAGGCCAATGGCCTCACTTTGTGGGAAATGCCTCCTTTGGAACTGGCATCAGATCTTGACTCCGAGATTCGACACATCAACTCTTTTGAGTGGACCTGAGATACAGAATTTCGACTTTTGGATCCTTTTGCAGGATAGTAGTTTTATGGTGCAATCGATCCAGATGTCATCATGACTCAGGAAGCTTTGTTTTTCAATTCATTTCAATTCAATCTATTGACCAGAACAATATTTTCGTGAGAATTCCTCACGACTGGGCATGGACCCTTGGTGCTTCAGATTCCTCAGACAAGACGTGGTATTTGTGTATTCTTTTGCAAAGGAAAGGTGCCCAAGATTAGTTGCTGTACAAGATCGGACTTGATGATTCACACAGGTCCATGGTTTCGGAGCGCAGCTCCGTGCTGCGGTGATGGTTCGTGGCAAATGACTCGTTGGTGAAAAGAAGGCAAGGGTTATGCAAGGGCTAAGAATCAAAGTATTTGAATGGAAAACGGAGTAAGCCTAAAGGATAGGACTTGAAGTTTTTTGGGCCCTTAGGTTCCTTTATGTGCTTTGCTTTGGCCTCCAAGACATTCTTTCAGATGTTCACAGTTGCCTCCTAGAATCGGCTTACTTCGCATCACCTGCGCATAGTTTCAGGTTTCCGCATGTGATCTTAAAGATATCCTTCAAACGTCTTCCAAGAAGGCGGAATTTCCTCACGAGCATAGCCTTCGAAAAAGAGTGTCAGTTGTATTTGTTTCAAGTCCTTTCACTCCCTATCGAACGTGCAGAATCCAGACTTTTGCAATCACCAATCCAGTTTTAATTGAATTTTATCACCGTTCCGATCCATCTCTTCATGTGTTTCTTTATATCTGGTTTCGTTCATCATTTTGCTTGCTGGACAAAATCTGTCTTAGGGGACTGAGGATTGTAGTTCAGGAGTGTTCAGGAAATTTCAAGATGTCGTTTTTGCCTGTCAACAGATGCCATTGCCACCAATGAATTCTACACAGTGATCAAGAGGTGGCATCAACAAAGAGAATCTACAGATGTTACCGGAAAAAACGATCTCCAACATTTACGACTTTTCATCCCCTTAGCCTGCGGCGACATTAGCCACTAACGTTTGTGAGTCGAGAAAGCAGAAAGGCAAGAAGAAACAGGCAGGTGCAAACGCATTGGCCAGTCCACATTTGCTGGCAAGGCTTCACTTTTCTCTTCAGCTTTTAACATCTTTGGCTAATCTGCAAGACATCAACTACCAACACACGAATTTGACGTTTGACGCTTTCTGTTTGTCCACGCAGACAATTTCTCTCAACCAAGGGCTCGTGGTCCGTACATCTTCCCAAGACTCTAGGAGCTTGTAAGATGCTATCCCAAATAGTCTGCATGGACGGAGAGCGATTGACCCAGCTCTGTTGAAAGATCCCTCAGTGAGCAACAATAGCAGCAGCAGACTGTTTTGGCGCGCTTGGTCGCACGTGACGCCGCGGCACTTTTGCGTGGCAGGCGTGGCACTTGGTGACATCCACCTTG